GATGTTTTTTTGTTTTGTTTTTAAAGATTGTTTCAGCATGATGATGGCAAACAAATCATTTTGCTCATATTTCAAAAGCAGGTCTCTGTAGGAAAAGAGTCTGACTGTTAAACTGTCCTGTCTGCAGGTCAGACCTGCTATTGTCTGAAAACATCTGGAGCTTTATCAGATGAAAAACACAATAAAGGAAGTCCAGAGCTTTGAGCAGCTGGAATTCTGTATGAAGCAGAAACATTTAGCTCCTGAGGAAATGGTGTCATCAGTCCCCACACACTTACATGTTCACATATTCCTACATGCCTTTAAAAACATTCTGCACTGCGTGTTTCCTTCTTTTTACTTCTTAGCTTTTATTTTGACATTTTAAAGTAATTACCTTCTAACTTACAGGCTGAAGTTGATTCATGCTTGGATGTATTTTAAACCTAAAAATGGAAGTTAGTCATGTCGTACGCATTATGTGGGTGACAGTGAGTAGGTTCCCTCTCGTATTAGTCTTCACTCTGCGCTCTGTGTCCCAGCTCGCTGTGAGCCAATCAGCCTGGAGCTGTGTATGAATCTGCCCTACAACCTCACCAGCTTCCCCAACTACCTGGGTCACCTGTCCCAGAGAGAGAGCTCCGTGTCCTGGGAGTCCTCTCTGTTCCCCGCTTTGGTCCAGACCGGCTGCTACCAGTACCTAATGTTCTACGCCTGCACGCTGCTGGTACCAAAGTGTGACCCGGTCAGCCTGCAGAGGGTGCCGCCCTGCAGGTCAGCGCACAGTCAGCTAGTTAATCATCACTTTATTCCTCTGGAAGGTTTCAGATACCTTTCCTCTCTCCTTCTCTCACTCTGTCCTCACCTCTCGCCCTGCAGGTCGTTGTGTCGTAGTGCAAAGGAGAAGTGTGAGTCGGTGCTCAGCATTGTGGGATTGCAGTGGCCGGAAGACTCAGACTGCAGTCAGTTTCCAGAGGAGGGAGGAAACACAACCTGCCTGCTGCCAGAGGCCGGAGTCGACGGTACACTCCGTTTGTCCCGAAGACGATCGCTGAAACGTTCTGCTCCTAAAACTAAAATCTTCTGTTTAATGTGTGTTTTCGTGGTGACAGAGTGCTCTCCGAGCCACTTCAAGTGCAGGTCAGGTCGCTGCGTGCTGGCAAGCAAACGCTGTGACGGACACCTGGACTGTGACGACCACAGCGACGAGGACAACTGCGGTGAGTCATGTCAGAGTCATCGAGGCCGCCGCGGCCTCATCGAGACGAATGCTTCAGCAGTTTAGTGCAGCAGGTCATGATCTCACCTTTCTGTGTGTCAGGCTGCTCTGAGCGTGCTCTGTGGGAGTGTCCCGGCAGCACAGTCTGCATTAAAGCCAGCATGATCTGCGATGGGTTCCCAGACTGCCCCCAGCTGGTGGACGAGACCAACTGCTGTAAGACTCCCTGATGTTGATGTTATTATGTTTTGTTCTGCGCTGGGCGAATAAACACCTTCCTGACTGTATTATTAATGATATGTATTCATATTTCCTCAGCGGTGTGCAGGGATAACGAGCTTTCCTGCAACAACCATCAGTGTGTCCATCGCACTCTGTGGTGTGATGGAAAGAAGCACTGCTCAGACAGCTCCGACGAATGGAACTGTGGTAGGATAGTCTCACTTTTAAAACGTTGGGTTGTTCTTTAAAATGTTAACAGGGACACCTGAGTGCAACTTTGGTCCTTCTACTTTTCATCCTGCAAAATCAATCTCTGTGTCTGCTTATTTATACATTCACTAACTATTGATAATGATGAAAGAGCAGAGAGTATTTGTAGTAGGAAGCTGTGTATCATCTGCGTAAAGTGAAGTTCAACATGATAAAGTTGC